GATATAACCTCTAGCTCAGAAAGCTCTAAATCATCATAGTACTGGGACCTGGGGATACTAGGGTATCACCTTATGCTTGCCTTATTTTTATATCCTTTCTTTCAGTATATCCTACCAGACTTTCCCAAAGTCAGATCATTTGGCTAGATGGAAATACAGCCATTTTTCTATACTTTGTACATACAAAGTACTTTGTACATTTAAAGTTTTAGTACACTTATACTAAATTTATACTAAACGTACTGAAATAATTTCTTGTTTTAAATGTTAATCTTTTACAGAAATTTACAGAGTAGCTCACCTTGCCTTCATCATCCTCCAGCAAAATCCGTCCTGAGTCAGAGTCCTTCACAACTGCCCCAATAGGGACATTGAATTCACTGTTTGGTTGAGTGTCCAGCCACACATGATCACCCTGGTGAGAAGAAAAGCAATCATCAATACAGTGATCTTGATGCCATATAGCTCACAGGCTCTTGGTCTTGATTTTTTAGTGCTTTGATTCCTTTAGCATTGTTTAACTGAGTAAGTTCTTGCTGCTCCTAGGCAGTACAGTCTAACAGTTACAGTACCAGGACCTTTGAGTTCTACTCCCAGCTCCATAGCTGACCTGGAACATGACTTTGGAGAAGTCATCAAACCAAACCCAGCTGTCTTGCAAGAGGAAATGAGACAACACATTTTACAAGGACAGCAGGTACTCAGCTCCAGTACCTCCCAGAGATTGGCAGGAGGCACAGTGAATGCTGCTGAAGTGTCTTGGCAGCCTCATATTAGCTATGGTGTTCTTTCAGGAGGGATGCTTGGAAACAAAGACATTACCAGGAAAAACAAACATGTACAGACTGGTTACCTGGAAATGAAGAGGGCTCTGTTGCAAGAGTTTTTAGATACAGCTGAAATCCCTTACAAATGTGGGTTCTTCCATGATCTTTCTTTGGAAAAAACCCAACACATTCTTTATTCAGCCCAGCTCCTCTCTTCACATTTGTAGAGGCAACATCCTGCCTCTCTGCAGAGCAAGCTACCAGTAACTGCGCTGCTGTCCCTGAGGAAGGTGTGGGCTACTGCTGCCCTTTCCTAGGAATAAGCAGCATCTTTGTGTTGCTGCACTACTGTCCCTGTCATATGCCTCAACTCCAAGCCCCCAGGAATACCTTCTCTTGCTCCAGGCACTAATACAGCTTCAAACAGAAAGCTTTACTGTAATGGCTAGAATGACAACTGAACAAAGCTGATCTTCAATAGGTATGAAGTGGCTTTCTAGCTGAGCGTCTTCTTGTATACAACTTCAGTTACATACTGTAGCATTTACTGTCAAAGTTTCAAGGGTTTTACTGAAATAATATTTCTTTTTCCTCTCAAAATACTTTCTGGGCTTACATTTAAAACCAAACAACTGTAATGTAAAGCATCTATAAACACTGCACAAGAAGAAGAAATGTTATGCCATAAGGAATAGTACAGACTAACAGCTCTCAGTTGCATTGAATAAAACTCCAAGGTGTGTGCACTTTCAGTGCCACACCTTGTGACAGAGGTCACCAGATCAGCATGAATACAGCCAGGCTAGGCAAGACACCTCTTCAGCTCTAGTCTTGATTGCTATTATTTGATACCTCTTTGATACTGGGTTATTTCATATTTGAGTTGAATTGTGATTTTCTCCTCTGTGGGCCTCAGGCTAATCAGTAAATCACAGCAATGAATAAGACTTACCTTTCTGAAAACCACCATTATGTTTCAGCTCACTGTATGTAACCTGCAGTGCCAAGAAGAACATAACGTTATGCCAGAAAAGGGCTCAGGTTTGGATTAGAACAGACAGCTGGGCTTTCCTTGAGATGTCTCCTTGTAAATAATAATAGCAAAATGCCTTAAAATTATTATGTTTGTAGATTTTGTTAAAGCACAAGAGATCAGCATAAGCTACACCCAATGCAGAAACAATGAAACCATCTACACAAAGCAAAGAACCTGCAGCACTAGCGTGGTGGCCTGCTCTTGAGTTCTGCCATGTAACTCTGGAGATGCTTTCAACCTTGAAGAGGTCACTGTACAAATTTTCATACTGGGTAGTTTCCAATAATAATCATCAATAATTTCAATGATGTCCGTACAACTTCTTCTATCATGTGTCAAGCTTTAAAAATCTTGTTTCAAACATTTGATAGCTGTTTACAATTCTGTGTAATATGGATGGTATACATTTTGAGAGATACCCAGATTTCATTACTTTTTGGATTGAATAATATAAATAATTTGATGATTTCTCTTCATTTTATGGTGGAGTTACAAAAGTTTCTGAGGTTTAGAACTTTGCAACTAAATTATCAGAAGTGTTTGAAGTTGCCACTTTCTTTTTTGGAAACCCATCCTCTTGAAAAATGAAGATTACCATTAAAAATCAAGATGCAGTTCAGGGTTAGTATTGGGGTTTCGCTCTTGTTTTAACAACTTTCAATGTTAAAAGAAAACATCGCAGTGAGAGAATTAGGGCTTGTTTTATCACTTGCTTTCCTATAGATGCCCATGTTTTTACCTATGTTATTTACAAAGGTATGAAATGCTTCCCTAAAGCACGGTTTTATTTAAAATCAACCGGTGCATAGCCAAACTTTTCTTCAGACTGAATAGAAGGAGCAAATATACTCCTGTATGCAAGATCCTGCCACTTGTTTTGTGTTATCCCAGGGTCTTAATCATAAGGAGGGCTATTAGGGTAGCAAAATTGAAAGCAGGAAGTGCTCAACAAGGTACATGATCTTTGTGCCCTTTTTGTGGCTATGAAGAGCTATACAGTAGCACGGATTGAACAGAGTTTCTAAACAAGCCCAGAATGACTTAACACTTTGAAGTTATCATAAGAGAATGCTGAAAATGACAAATGATCAAAATGGTAAAATGCATTGTGATCCCAAACTGAAAAACACATAGAAGCTTCTGGAGATGACAGACTACTGGTGTAGAAGTCCAGGGCTAACATACATTTGAAAGCAGGAACTTCAAATATAATTTTCACATAGGTGACCCAATTGCAAGAAAAAAAGTGAAATGTTACCCTTAATAACCAAAGCTAGCACTTGGAGAAACCACAAGGGCTGTGACTCCAGCACAAAACCTGCTGACTACATTAAGAATTGATTTTCGTTGTGAGACTAAGTCAATATCCAGAGCTCATCTGTAACTAAGACAACTCTCAAGCACATCACCTACCGACATTTACCAATGCAACATAGATGCGTTCTTTCTGCCTGCTTGTTTTGTTGTTTTTTTTTTCTGTTGTTTTCTCTTTTTAACACTGTGTCAAGAAGGAACTTTAGTCTTTGATAAGCAGTTACCCTTACAGTGAAAGCCTCATGTTCTTATTCAGGACTCAGGAACCGGATCTGCATATTAACTTCAACAATGCAATGCCCTGTTACTGTGAGTGATGTAGGGTGGTACAGAAGCATGGTACTTAGCAAAAATAGGCCAAAGATGGCAGTGGTCAGCCACAGTGACTCAAAATTGATAGATAATTTTCCACCTGTGCCAGAAACCAGAATACAGGAACAGAGCAGAAATGTCACCCAGAACAAGGATGGAGTAGTACATGCAGACACGAAGCACAGCTGTACTGTGTGGCATCAAAGGCATAGCTAGCTCCAGATCCAGTCTCTGACAGTAGCCAAGAATGGACATGTATGGAGGAGATCCCACACAATCCTGGGATACACAGTTTCAACATTTAAAATGCTTATTCTCAGTTAGGCCATAAGTGGCCACCCTCCCCACACCCACACCACACCACCCCCCTCACCTGCTCGAATGGCCACTTTCGGGCAACGCCTGGCTCCCACTGTTGCTTTTCTTTCCAAAGCAATGCAGCCCTGTAAACTAAATTGCACCCCACAGGATGGGAAATTACCTCTCCAGAAGAAATCTTCACTGTCTGCTTTCTGCAGCTTAGTTCTCTCTTTTTCATAAGCACCGGAGTAAGAAGGAAAAGGAAGGTGAAACTGGTAGCGGTGCCATTAAGGGATCCCTCGCCAACTACCAGTTCTCTGACACACAAAGGAGGAAATGACTGAACCATGGTTATTTATTACAGGACTTTGCTCCCAGTTCAGCATATGTCATTTCAAAAGGCAGGCATTCCAGTAAGTATCAAGGCCTATTCTTGCCTGAGTGAACCTTAAACTTCAGTCTCTCCACTGTGCCTGAAGTCTTTCAGACTTCTGGAAAGCACTTCCAGAAGAAAACCCTTTAGCATCTGGTTTACACTGCTCCAACACCACTGACTTCCCTGAGGTTTTCTCGTAGCCACCCTGTTAGATAATAGGAAAATCAGGCCCTCATCTCTCATCTCTCCCCTTGGTTCTGCACAGCTCTTTCTTGGAAGAAAATGCCCATCAGTCTACACCCAGGGTAGTCTGTGTTTCACAGTACGTACAGCTCAAACAAAATGAACTCGCGACACTTAAATTGATACATACACACACATATAAACTTCCTGGATTTGTTGTCATTAATTTATCTCCCAACAAACACTCAGTCCCTCTGTTCCAGCATCTAGGTGCGTGTTAGCACCCTATCTGCCCACTTCTCTCTTTCCAACTTAGGATGGGATGACAAAAAGCTTCTCTCTTTCTGGTTGCTCCACATGGACTCTCAGTAATCCTGTGTCCTCACATATCCTACTAAATTCCAGCACTGGATCTAATGTACGGGAAAGAAACAGAAGTGTAGTATATCTGTAGAGGCAGATACAGGGTTTCTCTGGCAATAGCAAGGACCCAGGAGTCAGGCACTCCTAGCAGTGAGCCCAAACTACAAGGAGTGATTTTTTTCCATCTATCTTAAGTCACAGTATAACCTTCCTCCAGGGTACTGCACACAAGAGGTGCTTTGCCTCACTGTGCACTACCCTTTAGTCAACATGCAAATGAAAATGTGCCACACTTGTGAACACATGCTAGTCTGCTTCGTACCTTAACTCTTGTTTTCTCATTTACTAGGTTCAATGTAGCTGCTGTAGCTGTATGATGGGAAAGGCAACAAAAGGCCTCCATGCAGGAGACAGATTCCTGGGCCTCCTGCTGCGGTTCCATATCCGAATCAGAGATAAGTCATGGCAACTAATAGCTGGGGGTAATGTGCGTTTATTCACATTACATAGCTGTGTTTTATTATTAGCCTCCTTACCTGAGGGTTTTGTTAAGTTTTACAGCAGAAATGAAGATACAGATGCAGAAATACAGCATAGGTCCTTCAGGGCTTGGAGACTTTCAGAGGGAGGCAAAAAATCAGCAGGCAGTGAAGAGAGCTTTCTTAATGTTTCTATCTGTGCAAATCATTCTTACTCAAGGATTTTGCCTCAAAGTAATTCTTTAGCAAACTTATTTCTGACACAAGAGTTTTTAGAAGTCTATATGTTGTGTGGGATTAACAAAATTTCAAGTACTAATTTTGTTAGATGAAGGTCAAATATTGGCAAATAAATCAAAGTGCATACTTTTATGTTATCAAGGCAGATATCTAAACCCAGAGCTTTTTGTGTAATGAGACTGCAGGGAAAAAAGGGCTATGCATGTTTCTTCTGCAGGTGAAACAGACATGCTGAAGTTCCAAATGGAGCGTGTTTTGGGGCAAAAAATCTCATTCTGAAAATACAGACATTTTAGCACTTATGACCAAGGTGTGGTGGGGGTTCTATTTCAGAGAGAAGTACAGTATTCCTGTCCTAGTAAAATATGAATTATATGAAATGGAAACGTATGGAACTCAAAGTAGTCTGAAAGAAAAGCACAACTCATTGTATGGCTGAAATAACATATTTGAAGGGAGATGGATTCCCACAGTTAAGTCTAGACATACTCAAGAGACAGAAAACATAAGCTGAAGGAGTAGGGACTTGATATTCCAAGCAGGAGCAGCATAGATGCTTTGTAAAGCACATGTACCTAATGAGACATGAGCAGGTGGCTTGCTAAAGGCTTCTTTAGAAAGTACCTCTCAAGGAACAGGGGTAGCTCAGGTTTGGGAAGTCACTGAGCTGTGTGAACAGGGAACAACAGGAGCTTGAAGGAGGCAGCAAAGCAGTTTACCACTGAAGACAAGGTTTGGTGAGGGACTGTGCAGGGCACAGACACATTTGTAGCTGTAATTAGGGGGTAATTTGTCCTGTGGTCTGTGCTGATGAATAATGCACTGAGAAAGGCAAATAATGAAAATTTGCTAATCCCTGGTGACTTTAATCCTGCTGTTGTTCAGAGCACTGGGTCTGTCTGGATAGACATGTGTTAACAAAACTGCCTCTTCCTGACAGCTTCCTAATCAAGAGATTGATGTCAGGATCAAAGGGTTTAATTTGCACATGACACTACCTCTCACATTTCTTCTCCAGCTAAATAGAAGTGGCCTTGTCAGTTCTGCATCACCAAGTCCCAGATGCCAAGCATGGTTTTATGTTAAACTAGGTGTTTTTCTGTCTAAGGTTTCTGAAGGAAGGTGTCTGATTAGAGAGAACAATTTGCAATTTACACTACTCATTCAGAAGCCTTCCTGTCTCCACTAACCTCCTTCCCCTCCTCTAAGCAGATTTGTAGCTTTAAGTCACTGATGGCTCTTCACTCTGAAAGGCACACTGCAGGGAACAAATCAAACTAAATAAGAGGTACATACCAGTAAAGGATTTCCAAGCGCATCCCTTGGTTGTCTGGCGCATTCTGTCCTTCAGGGAAAGGCTTATTTCATTCCAGCCAGTTCATGATCATGTTGTACAGAGGGGCAGACTGATGGGGCTCTGGGACTGTGTGTCAGTACACACCTTCACACATGCCAAGAGGGCACTGCTTACCCTGCTTGGTAGAAGGCAGGTCATTCTCCCCTACTGCGCAATCCCATTATGGTCTGAGTGTCACTCCATCCTTCCTCTTGGGATGCAGCCAAGAGGGTATTACAAGAGTATATTACAAGTGCCAAGTTCTGGCTCACGAGGGACAAAGACATGTGCACACAAGCATGCACACTAGTGTGCACACACGTCCCCTGCAAAATAATGGTCAGAATCAATGCCCAATTATTCAGCATTGCTGAGGTGAGGTTGCTTAAGACAGAGGTGCACCCCACCCTCTGTGGTGCACGTAAGATGTCACAGGACTAGGCTCAGGGTTAGGAAGTCTATTTTTAGAAAGATGGGAATTCATAAGTTAGGAACCTCTTTGTGCCTCCTTCCTCTCCCAATAGATGCAGCAATTCTCTGTTCTCTCATCAGTGCAGACTCAGTGCAGCTGGAATTGTAGACATTATCTTGCCACCCTTGCAGAACATGACACTCATTTGTATATGACTGATTTCCAAGGAAGGTTACCATCATACTCTGATCCTGCTCAGAACTTTATTTATGTGATAGGTTTCTGCGTTTTCTGGGCACCTTGGTACAACTTCCAGATACCTTGGTACACATTCTTCAATATATTTTTTGTTGTTAGTTCCTAGCTATGCTTCCCCTTGTCCATTGTTTTCTCTTACCCCCACCTGTTATTTCCTACCTCAGTGCTTTGTCTGCAGAGAACTTTATTTGTTGTGTTGTAATGAGTGACACTAAAGTTGTCATACTGCCTTCTATTTAGTCAGCTGTACAAAGCCATTACATTTCTTTATGAAGTCAGGTAAGTGAAAGAATGGGAGCCTCCCATCACACACTGGCACATGTGCCTGCTCCTCCCAGAAAAGATCTAAGTGAAACCATGCAGTGTGAAGAGCTAAAAGCAATAAAAGTCATACAGAAGCAGGAAGAAAGGGAATGATACCATTAAGAGTCCCATCCTGAGGATCACTAAGCAACCTTTGGGGCTACCTGGAAAAGTCCTGTAGAGCTGTAAAGAGAGACATTCTCTATATGTTTTATGTATGCTGCTTTCAGGATGTGTGCGTGTGTTCTGCATTTTTGCTAACATAGGATTGTATCCAAGAATTAGATCCACTGCCACTTCCTCCAAGTGGAACGCTGTAGGAGATGTTGAGTAATGACTCTGTTCAGAGAGTTCAGCTGTATTTAACATGGTACACTGAACTCCCTGCATTATAGCTGTGCTTGCTCCTGGAGTGTGTTAATAATGGCTTAACCTCTCTGCCATCCATTCTGAAGTGCCTCTAGCACAGAAGAAAGAATGACTCACTTTGCCCAGGGTTCTCAACTTATCAAATTTTGATGTCCCTGAACAGAAGTGGAGCATGTAGGGTTCTAAAAAACCACTGCTGTTTACAAATGCCCCAAATGACACTGCCTCAACAGTTTTCTACTTGTCACATGTTAACCTCTACCTCTGAGAAAATGAAGATGTTTTATCTGGCATCGAACAAGAAGAGAGTCAGGAAACCAGCAGCATATGCATTTATTAGGCTTGCCATTTCAAAATAACGCATTGATGACAGAAGTGATTTCTAGTAATCCTCTACTGACACAACGTAGGCGTGCCAAATGATTGAATAATGCAACTGCTCAGCGGATAGAGGTTACTAAAACAGAACAGAATAATTCCTGAGGAAGACACAGGCTGTTCTACCCCTGTGTCTTCTCTGGAAGTCAGCAATTACCCAGGAATTCAGCCCTAACTTTCAGCTGATTCTGAAGGTTAAATGTGGAGGAACCACCCACACATGAACTAGGTTGAACCACAGCTCCAGCTAGGGCAGTCTAAATGCGGTGAGACAACTAGCCCTCAGTTTCCATGGCTAGCCGTGAGTCCCCCCTTTGGCCAGTAGCGACATATATCTGTTGACCCCATTGCAGTGTCCAGAGCCCACGCGTGTAGCTGCGCCTAGACTCTGGTTTTTACCCTGCTGCCTTCTTGCAGAGACTCACATTAATTCTAACTTGATTTGCAGGGAGCAGAGAAAATCCCGTTACTTAAAGGGTAAAATCTTTCCTATCCATGTCAGGAGATGGAACTCTTGATCTCACATCCTTCATCAGCGTGGGAAGCATTGTGCTTCTTACTGGGCAAAGGGAGATGCAGGGTCTCTCTTGTGTGGTTCATGGGTGCGGGTTTAAGCAGTGATACAACATTTCCTGGGGTTTTAGTCTCTTGGAAGCTCCCACATGTCCCACACAGGGACACATCCTTATTAAAGTAACACCCGTTTTCACTCCTGTACAGCTGCTCATCTCCCATGTCGACACAGGGGCTTAAAGCAGCCTTTTCTTTTTGATCGAAGGCTCCTTCCATTCCCCCAGCACTTCAGTTACCAAGCTAAAACCAACCTGTTTCCTATAAAACAATGCAAACACACGGTTAGGGGCCGGAAAAACCCCATCTTTCCTGTTTGCTTCCCGCAATCACACTCTACACCAAAGCAGGTAACACCGTGCGGCCCCGGCAGAGCCGTGCAGCGCTCCCTGGCGGCCCATCTTGGCTGAAGCCTCGCGAGATCCTCCCCCAGCCCCAGGGTCGCGCGGGGAAGGGAGAATGGCCGTTCCTCGCGCATGCGCAGTTGCCATTGCCGGCCGTTCGGCGGAGAGACGCCATCTTGGGCCTGTGGCTCGGAGGGCGGCGGAAGGCGGCGGCGGGCCCTAGTGGCGAGCGCTGCGCTGGGGGCTTTGCCCCGCCGCCAGCCCGCGGGGCCGAGGCGGGGAGGCTGGGCCGGCGGCTCGCCATGGAGAGCGAGTACTACGGCGGGGACCAGTCAGGTAGCGGTGCGGGAGCGTTCCCCGCGGGAGGGACGCCCGGGGCGCTGGGCGCTGGGCCCTGGAAGGGAGGTGCTGTGCACGGCGAGCACCGCGGGGATATCGGCCTGCCCCCTCTGCCTGGCGGCCGCTGCCGGCTCCAGCGGCCGTTTGCGCTCACCGTGGTGTGGCGCTAGAGGCGGCGGAGCCGTGCCCGGTACGCCGGCTCGGTGGCCGCCCCACGGAGGGTACGCCGGGCCGGGCCGCCTCCCCCCCGGCGGTAGTGTGCAGTCGGCTTTGGAAGGGTCGGGTGACATCGGAGGGCTGGCACGGCTGCTGTGATCTCAGCACAGCCTTGGTATTAGTTCAGTGTTTTGGTCAGTCGCTGCTGGCGTGCGTGTTCTGAGTAGTTTTGTGGTATTTTGGGGGGGGGGGGGGTAGGTGTGTCTACCTTCCCAGTAGATAGCATTCGTTTCCCTGTATTACAGAGCGAGAGACTGTTAGAACGAGGGTCTGACTGTAGTGCTGTCTGTTCATCGTCACTGTGAGTGCTCTTTTAAACACTGGAAGATGTCACTGAGGTTTATTTTTCTTTTCTTAACTTTGGAGTAGATGATGGTGGAGCTACTCCAGTGCAAGACGAGCGAGATTCAGGATCTGATGTGGAAGAGGAAGCAAATGAGCAGCATTCTGGATCTGAGAATGGAAGTGTAGGGCACCATTCAGAGGTACTCCTGGAACTTTATCTAGATAAAGATTATTCTTTTATAAATAAATTTCTTGTTCTTGTTTAAAGAGGCGTTTTCTCCTAATTAAGACTTACGTATTTATTCAGTTGTTTTTAAGGGTCCTGTCTGGCAAAAGTTAACCTCCAGAAAGAAATGTGTCACATAGTCCCTTGGCCAATATGTAGAATAGGGTCTTTTTATTTTTCTTTTCAATTGCTGTAATAGCATTCACTGTTTTGTTTCATATTGTTATACTCGGTTGCAAGAAGATGAACTTTTGGGGTTTGAAATTCTAAGCAGTGGTTTATGAGCTGTGCAAAGTTACGTTCAGCCTGGAAAGGAGAAGGCTACATGGAGACCTCATAGCGGCTTTCCAGTATCTGAAGGGGGCCTGTAGGGATGCTAGGGAGGGACTCTTCATTAGGGACTGTAGTGACAAGACAAGGGGTAATGGGTTAAAACTTAAACAGGGGAAGTTTAGATTAGATATGAGGAAGAAGTTCTTTACAGTAAGGGTGGTGAGGCATTGGATTGGGTTGCCCAAGGAAGTTGTGAATGCTCCATCCCTGGCAGCGTTCAAGGCCAGGTTGAACAAAGCCGTGGGTGAGATGGTTTAGTGTGAGGTGTCCCTGCCCATGGCAGGGGGTTGGAGCTAGATGATCTTAAGGTCCTTTCCAACCCTAACTATTCTATGATTCGAGTGTAAAGCATGTTTGGAGGTACTTTTTCTTAAAGGTGGAAGAAATTGATTTGGTGTGAGGCAGCATTTCTTATTGTGACAATCAGGATTTCAGTGTGGGAGAAAATGTTTTTTCAGCATGGGAGGAACAACTGTCTTTCAAATGAATTTAGTAATTCTGTTTTAATGGAAAAAGGCGATGAGTGCATGGAGAGTTATGTTGCTGCTTCAGTAATATTAAGCTTTTTCTGCTGTGTATGAAAACTTGGTCATTGTTCTTTACTCCTTTGGGATTTTAATTTTACTTACCATGGCAGAGTAGCTGGAAATCTGATCTGAAGACCAGGGAGCTGGCTGGTACTTAAGTCTTCAGCATGTCTTTTTCAGATTTAAATAACCAGAAAGTACTGTCACCTGTTACCAGCTTTAAATGATCTTCTTCATGTGCCTGCATTATTTTAAAGGCTTCGTTCTATGACGGCTGTTGATTATCTCTATGGAGATAAAATACTCCAGAGATGCAATAAGAAAAATACATTTAATCAGAGTAAAACCCCAAACTAAAATACTTTTCTGTCCAATAGTAAATGTGAACCTTCAAACCTTAGTGCTTTATTTCATTCAGTTTAAATCATAAGCATTTGAGTATTTTGGTTTGTTATGAAGTCTTACATACTTAATTTTCCCTACATCAAATTCAAAATGCAGTAACGTGGAGCAGCTGTCACTGAAATGAGTAGCTTTCAGTGATTTATCATACTATTTACCCTAAATATTCTCTCATCCTCTTATTTCCTTCATCTTTAGGAATATGTGGGAGGAATGACACTCAAATGTAGTAAAACCTTTGAGACAGCCAAATCAGTTAAGTCTATTTAATTACTATTTCGTCTCTAATTTAGAACTTGGATGTGAAGAACTGAAGTTTTAAACTTTCAAACTTTTTTTTCAGGTTCTTAACTTTAAAGAAAAGGGGAATCCTGAGGAATTACTTATGTAGGTCTCAGGTATGTGGGTTTTTCTTTTCCACAATTCTTTTCTGGCTTTCCTTCCCCCAGTCCCACTTTATCTATAAATGTTTTTCTTGATGTCCTTACCAGTTCTGCTTTAGACAAATAGAATTAGATAACATGTAGGTTTAGTACAGTAATGAATATGAAATCATGTTTACAGTGTTTCTACAAGTCAGGCTCATATGGAAATCTTTAATGACTTAGATCCTTATGCTTTCACCAAGTCGTTGCTGTCTTCATGAATTAAGTTATGGTTCGACTGTGACTGTTAAGAAACCTACATTTATGAAAATAAGATAAACTCGCTGATCTGCCTGTGATGGTTATGTATGCCTTAGTTTAACTGTTATCATTCATGAGGTTGTAGTGGATGGGTCAATTTTGTTCAACTTCGTGAAGTGTCAGAGTAGTACCTCTTAAAAGTGGCTGCATGTTGATCATATAATCTACTTGCTAACTGAAATTTTTGTGTAGAAGAATAACACTGTAAATTTGATTTTTATGTTCTTGACTTTATACTGTACTAAAGCCTCATGTTATAGAATTCTTTCAGTTAAAAAAATAAAAGGACATCTCAAATTAAAATGTTTATAGATAAAGAGGAGGAAGAAAAGAAAGCAAAGGAATTAGAGAAAAATGCAGTAGCAATTACCTGAGACCTACTTATTTTTGGGGATGTCTGATCTTTTAATTAAGTATTTGGAAAACTAGAAAATTCCAAAATGACATCCTTGACTTCTTTGAGAGCATCTTTTTAGAGACGAACTAGTAAAAAAATAAGTGATGTGAGACTATCCTGCAGAATTTAAGTCCTCTTACTGTAATGTTGCATGTACTTTTTATATCAAGGAAATTCCAAAACATTCAGAGCTTCATTAATTGTATTCAGAAGACCTTTGCACTGATGGCTGTGGACAGGACCTGTCCTGTATAGGCTCTGAGCACGTCATCTCTGCTTCAGAAGGTGCTCAGTTATGTTAATGTGCTGAGTCTGAGGTAGAGTGTGTCACCTTTCTGCACTGTGCACTGACTTGACCAAGATAACTGTGCTTTTTGGGTTATCTCTGGCTGAGCTTTCCATACTCAGGACTAGAGTAAATGGTGCTGTCTGCCAAGTCTGTGTAGGGACACCTTTATCATCTGATTCTTCTGTAGGTGATTGTATCACAGGAGAGTTCAACTGCTGTAACCACTGGGATTCTGCAGTGCAGAGCCGTGTGTAATGGCAGTGTGAGCTATTAGGATGCATGTCTACTCTCTGTCCCCAAACATCTTCGTTCTCAGGAGTTTGTCAGTTTGCAGTAACAGATTAGAGATTCAGTGTATTGTAAACTGCTTCAGTAATAATGTTGTATAATTGTAATGACTTCTTTATGAAGCACTTTGCATTGGAATTTCCTAATTTAGTAATACATTCTGCATAGGAGGACATATAACCTGCAGCCACACTTTTGACCTTAGAAGCATTTAAGAATCATTATGAGTTCCAGTTATTTTTTTAGTTTTGTTTACCTGTTTGTTGAAGACTTTCTGGACTGGCAATCTGGAAGGTGATGAGCCTTATAGTTTAAACAATAGGATTTGTATTGTTTTCCTTGGGTTTGTATAGTTAAATCCCTTAGTACTGGTAAAATAATTATCAGCATAGCCATCTGAAATCAAGACATGACAGACCAACCCACCAAAAATTATATGGTAGGAGAATAAGGATTAAAGAATTCATGTTATTAGAAATACAACTTCGGTGTAGACTTCTGCATTTAAGTACTTCTCAATAGCCTGACCTGTAAAACTGCTGTCAAATCTGTTTCCTGTTCTCTTTGCAACTGCAGTTTTCTTTAAATAATACAATCAGAGAAAATACACCACATACACACATTGTTAGTTTACATGAGAGGTACTTGGCAGCAGAGAGCCATTGAATTAATACTTTGGTGTGGAAAAAAAGTGTATCTCATAACAAGCTGAGAGCAGTTGAGTGTGTGTGTGGTCATCTTTAGTTCTGTAATTCCTTAGTCTTCAATTCTTTAAAATTTCACATTCAGGTTTTAATAGAACCATGTTTCCTTTCTGTAAGAAGAAATGAGAAATACTGAATAATAGCACCAGCATGATTTAAAATACTAGCATTGCTTTAGAGACGGGACAAGCAGTAGAGAGAACTTGCTCACATTGTCACAGCAGCTGTTGTGTAGCCAGCATTAAGTAACATGGAAATAGTGAAGTTTTATTTGAAGTGCATGTTTTCAAAATCTGTAGTCCGTATTTTTTTCCATTGTGCAATCACTTTCTGTTAGTGATTTTGCACTGATTTACAAGTTACTACTTTACTGAGTGCCAGCCAAGGGAATAAACGCCCAAGGTCCAAAATGTTAAAAAGCCGTGTTATTTAACACTTAATGTAATTCTGGAGGGAGTAGTTCCTAAAAGCAAATTGAAATTTATTTTGTTTAAAATCTCTTCTTAATCATACATTTTAAAGATCAATAGTATTGTTTGTTATAGGATAGATACACCTGCATTATTTTGTATGGCTCTAACAATAGAAAATATAGGTAGCCTGTCCATCTTTCCAAGGAAATTAAATTGCTGACAAAAAAGACTGAGAAGCTCCAGGACATGCGGGTCTTAAAGTAGCGCCTAGGACAATAAATATTCAGTTTGCAAATATGCTAGTGGAAGGAGTCTGTAGCTGAGACAAAATCACTCCTAAGGAAAGCCTGGTTGAAGAGTGGAGTTGAGCATGTAGAAAGGAAGTTTCTTTTACAGTATTGTTCTTTTCAGTTGCAAATGGGATTATTGTGACTGTGAGTGTGAGAAGTGTACTGAGTTAGTGACACTAGTGACACAAGTGTTCAAGAATCAAGTTCTGTTTTCTCAGGGAGATGCAATTGAGATCCGCGCCCCCCCCCCCCCCCCCGGAGTAGAAATTAGATGTTGGAGGAAAAATAAAACAAGACGTTTTCAGTAATGATATTGACAGATGGCTTGTGGAAGGTTTTTCCAGGAATGGAGCATTGGCTTAGTATTTTTTTGTGTAGAAAAAGACTGAAAGGATTGTGTTTAAATTCTGGAGTTTTAAGAAGACTGCTGTATTTGTGCATAGGTTATCTGGGGTGTCTGAACGGGCGCAGGAGCTATCAGCTTAATGGGAAGAAACATTGAATCTGTTCTTTCTTTCTTTGAAACAACATTGAAACACAAAACTAGTTAACAGTAATATCCTGGAAGGTCTGACTAAAACTATTCCTCTTTTTTTGGTAGGCTTTTGGTCTTGATATTTTCCTAAGTAGGTTTCCTTGGCAAAGAAGGAAAGGGTGCAAGCTCTTTTGAGCTTCACTTGTAAAGCAATACATGTGCAGTTTCAGTAAAATGTATTTTGTGCGAAAACCATCCGTTTTGAGATCTTAAAATGACAAGTGGGACATCCTATTTCTCGCTTATTACGGGGGATTTGGACTAAGCAACTTTGAAGGCCTGACTTTTTAAAATAAAAGCACTAGGCATTTATCCTCGAGGAACTGGATTCTTCTTAGACATGTTTGCTTGAGTGTTCTTTAAATTCTGTCAACCATTCTCAACATATGCTTGAGCTGCAGGGTGGACAGCCTAACATTTTTCTTGATCTGAAGTATTTGACAATGCTTTGATGCAAATTGTCTCATGATTATTTCTGTGTAGAAAATATTTTACTTTACAGTACCTTGGGTAATGAAATTAGAGGAAGGATAAGCAAAAATTCAGAAGGTTTTTTGTATACTTAAGGGTTTTTTTGCTTAGTTGCCTGAGATTATTTTTCTCTTTCAGAATGAGCACAGTGATGGAGAAGATGATGGGCGAATGGGAGAGCCCCACATGACAGACTCTGAAAATGAAGATATCCCAAGGCAAAAAGACAGTGACTCAGATAACGAAGAGCCTCCAAATCACAATGTAAGTGATTCAGACAATGAAGCAGCTCATGGAGGGAAAGACAGTGATTCAGACACTGAGGACTGTCCAAATCGGCATATAAGTGACTCTGAAAATGAAGATGCCTTAAATCATCGAGCAAGTGACTCTGAAAATGGGGAGCCTCACAGGGATCACAGTAGTGACTTTGAAAATGAGGAATCACACAAGCAGCCGGCCAGCGACTCAGACAGCGAGGAGCTGCACAAGCAGCCGGCCAGTGACTCAGAGAGTGAGGAGCTCCGCAAGCAGCCAGCCAGTGATTCGGAGAGTGAGGAGCTGCGCAAACAGCCGGCTAGCGACTCGGAGAGCGAGGATGTTTCCAGACACAAACAAGAAATAGAGTCTGAGGATAGTGATGCAGAGGACAGGAAGGAGGAGGTGCAGAATGATTCTCATCATTCAGATAACGAACACATAAGGGAAGGATTTCAGGCCTCTGACAGTGAAGAGGAAGCTCCTAAGAGACGAAAAATATCTGACAGTGATGAGGAAGAGAAAGAGGAGGAGAAGACGGTGAAGAGGAAAACCGCTATCCTTTCTGACAGTGAGGATGACGAGAAAACACGTAAGGAACTATAGTGTGAAAATAGACATGTGATGTGACAAGTAGCATGTTAGAGGTAAATCACTGGTTTTATGTGAAGAAAGCATTTAAGATTAATATAAATTTATAAAAATTTATAAAGGAAACTTGGGGTTAGAGCAGAACTTCATTTGTAGAGGCTGTTGTTCTAACTGCATTTCTGTGTGAATGTGTATCTAATGCTTTTGATTAGTAAGTAGGTCTAATAGAAGTAAAGCTGCAGTGATCTTGCTTTGTACTGGCATCTGTTGATCATTTCTGTTGTTTCTGTACTTTGTTAGAGACTCTGCTCTTTCTCTAGTGATTTTTTCCTGTGTTTTTTGGGGTACGTTTGTTTTGGGTTTATTTTCCATTCATATATTGGGGATGAGAGACAGTTTTGAAATGACAAGTTCTTGTGGATAGGTGTGGTATATGGAAACTGCAATTACCGATGAAATGAAACATTTTAGAGTGTGTATGTTTGTTAAGAGGTGGCAATGCTTTTGTGTTGGAATGCTGATCAGCTTCCTTCTTGTCCAAATCAAATTTGCGAGAATAGTTTTTGGAGAGTACCAGTTGTCACCTGTTACTAGGACATGTAGTAATGACCCTTTCTGTTGGCAGCTGCTAAAAAAGTACGAATCCTTTCTGATGTTGAAGAATCAGATAGCGATGCTGCTTCAGAGAAATCTGACAAAAGGAAGAAAAATGTTGTATCAGATAGTGAGGAAGAAGAAGAAGAAAGAAAAGAAAATGCTGGGAAGAAAAAAGAGGAGAAAGATCTATTTGGCAGTGAAAGTGAATCTGGAAATGAACAAGAGTAAGTGCTTCTGGGGTATGAATTCCTTCAGGGTTGGAGATAGTAAGACTCATCATGAATGGAGAATGGATGAATCCCACCCTGGGAATGATTGTCCACCTTCATTGGTGGTGTCAAGAGGAATGTCAGTAGTAGGTGGTAGAATGAAAGGTGGATCTCCAGAGTCATTGGAAATGTTGCAGAAAATGCACATCTAATGTTGCAGTCTAAATAGATAAATGTTGCTGTTACCTTTGCAGGAACTTGATTGCAGATATTTTTGGAGAATCTGGTGATGAGGAAGAAGAGGAATTCACAGTAAGTGTTACTGTAGATGTCTTTTGTTCACTTGCTAGATCTTATCTTCATGGGAATGTGTATGCTGTATCGCAGGGGAAGCTTTGTACCTGCTGGACTCAATGAGGTAGTGTTTGGATTAAATGACATTTACAAATGTTATGTTTGGAGAGTTATTGTTGTGAAAGTCACAGGTGGAATTATGAAGCCTGTGTTCCTCTTCTAGATCTTGTGCATGCCTGTCTGAAGCTTTTTGAGTGTTGGTGTCAGGATGCCTGAGTAGATGCTCGGTCTTAATCCATACGCTGATTTTCACTGTCTTTACCCATCAGGGTTTTAACCAGGAAGATTTGGAGGAAGAGAAGGGTGATGCAGACATGAAGGAAACAGCCGATGAATCAGACTCTGATGATAACATCAAAAGAGGGAAGCAGTGAGTCAATATGTTACGTGCTCCTTTGCTAATAACAAATGCAAGATTTTAGTGAAGGGTTTCTTTCAAAGGCTGGCTAGACTTCATAGTTTAGAAAGGCATGGGTCTATGTTTCTACATAACGTGTCTTCTCAGAAATTATGTTAGAAGGTTCTCTCTCAACTAGTGGTTTGGTCACTTGACAGTCCAAAGCAGATTACCTGTGCTGCTGCTTCAGAGAACAGTATTTGATGTTTCACATCAAAACCTGAGTGAAATTAATGTTTAATCAAACAAGCATCTAATTCTACTTCTGACAGTACAGTATTGGAATCAAATGTGTTTCTCTGCTGGTGTAAGGGATAAGGTATGGCAAGACTTGCAATCAGCATGTGTCCTGTTTTCCTTTCCGTCTGTTTCAATAGCATCAGAACAGTGTATTGCAGGTGTAGGAAAGCTAAATCCTTGTCAGCTTCAGTGATATCTTTGGCACATTTTGAACCTTGGATATTATATGTGTGTATGTCGTTAGCTATTTCATCCAGGTCTTGCAGACTTCTGAGGGCATCTTGGAGCCACTGAAGCCCTTTGCTAGTTTCCCAGTTTGTATACTGAGGATAACTAATTATCTTTCAGGGACATTGAGACAATGCTTTCAGATTTATTGGAGAAATTTTGAAAAATTGGCTACAGAAATACAATGTTATTTCTTACAAAGACAGAAAGATCAACCCTTTCTGACCATCAGCAAACTCTCTTCTTGCATTTCAGTATGGACTTCATGTCAGATTTTGACATGATGCTGCAGCGAAAGAAGAGTATGAGTGGGAAGCGTAGACGAAACCGTGATGGTGGAACTTTCATTAGCGATGCGGATGATGTAGTCAGTGCTATGATTGTGAAGATGAATGAAGCTGCTGAGGTGAGTTATCTAGGCTCCAAAGACACCGTAAAATCCAGTTCCATTCTACAGGAAATCTCTTGATTGTAATGGGTCTCTGATAGGGGAGCCCAGGTACTGAACAGATAGTGACATTATGTCCTTGGATGATAGTCACTTTGAAACCCAGACTTTGTTTTAGCACATGATGCACACTTATGTGCTTTCATGTTACGTGCACCATGCTTCATGGTAAACCTCTAGGTTATCCAATTACATTCTTAGCTGAAGTGAACAGCTGTTTTCTTGCATCCCAGTGTTTTGGTTAGCTGTTTTTCTGTTGTTCAGGTTAGATTTTACTAACGAAGTTTCTACGTTATTTGTGCATAGCTAGTGTGGAGGACTAGTCCAGTTTACTGCAATCAGCCTAAATCATGAACTAAGGGAAAAAAGAGAAATAATTAATTTTAGGGGGAATCTCCAAATATGATTTTTAAGGAGAATGTTGACTAAGGTGGGGACCCTTTTTTAAGAGGAGTCATAAATGTGTTTTGGGAGATCGTAAATGTGTTGTAGAAAGTTGGAGCAGAGCACAAAGTTAGTGCGATCCTGCCAAAGTTGCACTTCTCATTTAATGGGCTGATCTCTTTCCTGTAAATAATTAACTGTGAGAGTTGCTGATTTCCTCTTTCGATTAACTTGTGCTGATTCTCTAACTCCCCACAGGAGGATCGACAGCTGAATACACAAAAGAAACCAGCACTAAAGAAATTAACTTTGCTACCAACTGTAGTTATGCATCTTAAAAAGTGAGTTGTCATTCTCCCAGTTAATTATCGTCTTCGGGAATATTGGGAATTTGGTAGAATTCAGGGAGTGACACTGCCATTGTACTAAGCATGCAGTGAAACATTTCTTTTTCCCAGTAAATGCTGGAGTGAGGTGGCCTCAAAACCCTAAAATTCTGTGTAGTTTTACCTGTTAATTTAACACGAAACAAACTCAAGTGCACAGTCGTGCTGAAGAAACATCACATCTTAAGAGTTTGATGTGTTACGTGACTTTCTGGCTTCTCTTTATTTGAAATTTCCTAGGCAGGACCTCAAAGAGACTTTCATCGATAGTGGTGTTATGTCTGCCATCAAAGAGTGGCTTTCTCCCCTTCCAGACCGAAGTCTGCCAGCATTAAAGATACGAGAGGAGCTTCTGAAGATCCTGCAAGAGGTTTGAAACTGACTTTTAACCATACTTCATTTGTGGCTTCTCTATGGTGTTACAGTTGTGTGCTTTAGGAAAATACTTGCTGATCTTAAAGGTCTTTTCCAACCTAGCTGGTTCTGTGATGCTATGATAAACGTACTGTAGCTGCTGCCAGTGTGCAGGGAAATACACACGGAAGCAAACTGCAAAATAGATGTGTTTCTTTAAAAGTTGCATCATTTTAATGGGTGTTAGATTGTAGACATGCTGTCTAGCACAAAGCAAGATTTGACTAGGCCCAACAAAAATTTGACTAGGCAACTTCAGGTACCTAGTGGTTCTTACGAAAATATTACCCATTGTTCACCACAATGCAAATGGCTCTGCTACCAGCAGGCCAGAAGACATTCCTGAGAGTCTCAGGTGAACTTCACACATTAAGTTCTCTGCCCTCTCTTGGGGAGTAATGTGCTATGGCATTTCTAGTTTCTTGGTATGTTCTCGGTGCTCATTCGTTGTGGTTGGTCATTTGAATTTGTCTTTTCTGTGTTCATAAAATAAGCGTGGCATAGTCTTAATAGTGAAGTAGAAACAAAATGTTCCTTGCAGCACTGCTAGCTGGCTTTATGTGACTGATGCTCTAGAAATACATTTCTCCTTGCTAGGAATTTGCAGGAGTTCTGCCTGAGTTTAAATTATTTGGCCCTACCTGTTTCAGATTTATTGTGTAAAGTTCAGTGAACAATCATTTGCTGTCCCTGGGTTTTATTCTGTTGTGGTCAGTTCTCTTCTCTGGCTTCTTAAAGTGTGCAGTGCACTAGAAAGCCCATCATACTCAGTGTAGACTTTTAGCCTTTGTAGCTAAGCTGATTGCTTGAATGCTTTTTCCATATAAGTTTTTATAAAATGCTTTATAAAAGTGCTTTGAAGGCCATAACTGAATTTTTGTGCAATATAAGCAAAAAAGCATTTGGAGCAAATAGTTCTGGAAACCTACTTGATTTTACATGTAAAGCCCAGTAACGTTATGGAAAATTTCTTGGATTTTGTGTTTGGTTCTTTAACCCATTCCTAGTGAAAAATGCTATTTTTTTTCAAGCTTATTGTGAAAGTAAATTTTGGTCTGTGTTTGCGAAGTTCAGTGACACCATTAATGTTCAGACATAATTTCTCGATGTTTTCTGACTTTTCTTTCATCTTGCAGCTGCCCAGTGTGAGCCAAGAGACGCTGAAGCACAGTGGCATTGGACGAGCTGTGATGTACCTCTACAAACACCCCAAAGAGTCGAGACCTAACAAGGATATGGCAGGGAAGCTAATCAGTATGTAAACCTCCCTTTGCCTTGTGTCAGTATATTTCACTCATGATTTTATTTCTGCATCAGTCTTTCTGTTGCATGGGTTTTGTTACCATCTGTAGTAAAACTAATTCTGCAATACAGGAATCTCACTAATCTGTTTCATTGCTTTGTTTGTAGGGCTCTTAACGAATGCTGTTACATTAACTTCTGCACACACTTTTTTCCTGTTTGTTTCATTCTTGTTTTGAACCAGAGGATGGCATTTATTTTGTCCAGGCTCTCTCTTGGCTAATTGTCCAAACGTCATGTAGACGCTAGAAAAATAGGAAGGTCCTGCCAGGAGACTTTTTGTTCTGTAGACTTCAGAGAGGTCTTGGGTGACAGAAAGTTTACTTCTTGAACAGCTGTAGTGCATGTGTAGTGCATCCCATCCTGAAGGACTGAAAACTGATTATAAACTTGTTATGTTTTTCAGGAACTATTTTGCATATTTCTAAAACAGCATTTGCTGTGGCATGCAGGGGTTCCTGACACTTCAGGATCCTAAGTGCTCAGATAGGTTCTAAAAGAGCAGGCAACAGCAGGAGAATTTATGGATGAAGGCTCTTTCTTACTGTCCACATGGCTGGATTGCATTAAAATATTAAGGGCTCAGCAATCAGTGTTTGTTTGAAAGGAAGCATAAATATTTGCCATAAACCTTGAAAGCTGTATTTGGGCACCCGAGTGGTTTGGAGGTAAACTTTGGTGGCCTAGTGTTTAACAAGTTTTATTCTTTTTAATAGATGAATGGTCTCGACCCATCTTTGGCCTTACCTCAAACTACAAAGGCATGACAAGAGAAGAGAGGGAACAGAGAGATTTGGAGCAGATGCCGCAGCGAAGGAGGTTGAGCAGGTAGGAGCAAGCAGGCAGAAACATGAAATCCTTTCTGCCTAAGACGCTATAAGAAAATGAAAGCGGTGTGTAAATACTGGGGAAATAAAATGATAACAAGTTACGGCCCCTGTCTTTTCTTCTACTGCACTTAACTGTCTTTTAAAATCACTGTTTTTCTGTATGTGTAAGTGCCTATAAAATGCTTTTCTTACAGCTCTGGTGGTCAGACTCCCCGCAGGGACCTGGAGAAAGTGCTCACTGGAGAGGAAAAGTAGGTTATTTTTTTTGTTGTTGTTGTTTTATTATTTATTTATTTTCTTATTTTATTTATTTATGTAATTAATAGATTTTTGTTAGAAGTATTTTGGTGGTACTTACCCACAGTTTGTTTTGAGGCTTTAGAGGCACTAATTATGTGCTGTGTTTCAGAGGTAGAACATGCTGAATCACTTGTAATTCTGTCTGTGTAAGATTTGTTTCTTTAGCACTCACATCTTTTTTCCTCAGGGCTCTTAGACCCGGTGATCCTGGGTTCTGTGCCCGTGCAAGGGTGCCAATGCCCTCCAACAAGGACTATGTGGTCAGGCCAAAGTGGAATGTGGAGATGGAGTCCTCCAGGGTAAGCATCGGCACTCTCCTTGTCACTCTGTGCCAAAGTTGTCTCTGACTAAGCCTGGGAATCTGCCACTTTACTGCCATGGTTACTGTACAGTTCAGCAGTTGGTTTAAGTGCCTTTTCTAATCTGGATAGACAGTAAGTCCTGCTATCAAGTGGGCTGTTTTCAGCTCACCAGATACTTTCACGTGGGTATCTTTGATTTTTCTAACCAAAAAGAGATTTTCATGTTAACACTTCCAGAGTTTCTCTCTAGCGTGAGTATCTGATTACAGGCCTCTGGTTTTAGAGCATTTTGAACTAAAGCTTCAGTTTTGTGTCGCTGATATTTTGATACCTCTCCTGGATTTTGTATCATATTCTTCTGGTGATATTCCTGTTTGGGAAAGCTTTGAGGTTTCAGTAAATATTAACAGCTTCAGTAGAGGCCTTTGCTTTGCCTTATTTGGTTCATCCGTCTACCTTGTACAGTTTAATTTCAAAGGGGAGTACATGGTAGAACACACATAAATGGAAGAAGTAATAATTACTGTACTTTCTGCTGTTCTCTCTCCTTTTGTGCATTAATTGAGATATTGTTTCTAGCCCGGGACTATTAAGAGAGGTATTAGTCGCTTGGAAAAACACAAGAGACGGTTTGCTGAACAGAAACGACTCAGCAAAGTGCATCGGGCCATCAAGTTCAGCATTGAAGGCAACAGGATGCCCCTGTAGCCATGACACACTGCCTTCCCCAAGTTTGAGAGGTATCCCTCAAGGGAGGTGTGAATAGTGCATGTGCTTCAGCTGTTGGCAGTTTGCACATATAGGAAAGGAGTGTGTGCACCCTAGCTCATTGAACTTGGAAACTCTCCATGTATTTTCTTACGTCTGTACTGTGACCTAAAAGGTAACCTGTACAGGAAAAAATAGGCTGCAGCACATAACATCTGCCGTGATGCCTGCCTCGACAGCTTCAGGGTCCCCAAATGACAGGTGATTAGTGAAAATACCTGTACTCCAAAGTAGCTTTGCACCATGTGTGGTTTTGAGTGCTGTTGTGACATAATTAGGTTCTCCAGGTTCACCTGAACTGCCACACAGGAATTTTGGCCTTTAGCATAGCACCTCACGTCACTGCATACCGATATCTGTGGCTGACGTTTGTGGGCACAAAGTAAGGTATTTTTCGCATCTGCTCTTTGAAGGAAGTTGAATGATGTGGGGTTTTAGAAGAGTTTGGCAGGAGGCAGAGTGTGACACCTCTGCAGACCAGGGGAATAACAATCCCTGCTATGAATGCAGCGTAGAGGGAGACTGATCAATGATGTGCATCAATGCAGGAATTATTTTGACAGTTTCTGGTCTGCATTTCAGTTCTGTGAGCAGCACTGCCACAACTGATAGTGACAGGAAGAGGTTAGCACAAAGTTGAATTTAACCTTCATACTTGTTTAAAAAAAATAATTTCTTTAAAATCATTGTGACATTCCAGGTATAATTTCAATGAATAGTGAGCAGTTTTAGGAATACAGTTTATTTAAAACCAGTATGTCAGGAGCACACCTTCCTCAGTGACGGAGCAAGAGTTTCAGTTTCTAATAGATGGTTTTTGTCCAGTATTAAATAGCATGTTCTGGATATCTCTGTTTCTCACAAACTTAAAAGGTGTGTGATGTTTTCATCATTTATTGTTTCTGTTGTCTAGGTAGGGGAAATTGCTTTCTAGGAAGTAATGGCTGTGGTTTGGAAAGTCCTTTGCTATTTGTCTTCCGTGGCATTTCTTTATAGAATCACTGTATTTAATCTGTGAAAAATAACTGCTTTGTCATCTCAGTTTCTCATTTGCAGTTAAAGTAGAGGGATAAAATGCAATAACTCTTCTAATAGCTTGTGTGGTCAGCTTAGGCATTTCTTTTGCTTCCCTCAAACCCCATTTTTCCCAAGAATCTCTTGCTTTATAAGTACTAATAAGCAACCTTTAAAATCAGTTGTAGTTTGGAATCAATAGGTCAAATCAGTCTGCTTTAATTAAAGTGCATTCACGCCTAAAAGTCTCCCTCCCACCGCCAGAAGCCTGTATGTGAGATACTGTGGTGCAGCCTGTTTCTGACACTGAGCTCCAGCTGACAGAGATACAAAACTACTCCAAACTATATTCACCTGCTATGTGAACAACTAACAAACAAACATGGTTATTAATCCCTGTAATGTATGTGAAAGTTTTCCTGTGTAATGTTTTTGTGGCAGGGGCTTGGAGTGAGATGGTCTTTAAGGTCCCTTCCAAACCAAACCGGTCTGGGATTCTATGATAAGTGCAGCATATAAACTGGGGGAACGTGTTCTCCACTTTGTGGGGAGGAGATGTGTGCACGCACACACAACCGTTTGGAACCAGTGGCTTCACCCGCTCCGTCCTGCAGGTTTACCCTCGCATGCATCACTTCACTTCTCTTGAACCTCTGGGATGTCTGCTTTCTTTCAGTGGTAATTATTAGTTTTTATTATTTAATGATATATTTTTTAAGTTCCAGGGGACCTCTAAGAAAGGGGTGAGTCGACTGGACAAACAGATGCGGAAATTCACAGATATCAGGAAAAAAAGCAGATCGGCCCATGCAGTGAAAATCAGCATTGAGGGCAATAAGATGCCATTGTGACCCTTCACAGAGTACCCTATGATCTCTGCTGTAAGACAGTACACCCACAGACTCTTTGGAGACCTTTAAATTTTTTAACAGCTTGTTTGGGCTTTTTTTTTTTTTTTTCTTTTTCTTTTTTTTTTTTTTAGTGAATCTTTAAATTGGTTCAGGTTCTGGTATAAGATGATGTCCAAGGACTGTGAATATGGGGACTTCTTTCTCCTGACTGTATTTAAACTTGCTGTATTGTGTCCTTTGTACAGATCCTGTATTTGTTGTATTGCAACACTTGAGACAATAAAACATCTTTTTTTCTGGGGGGGGGGCCTCTCGATTGATTGCTCAAGGGACTGTATTTGCAGACCACCTGGTGTGTGGAAAAGCTGGTAATTGTTAATTTTCTGTTTACCACTGTCTGTGTCCTCTTTATTCAGAGCTTTATTAATCAGTTGGTCTGACCCTATGTCTTATTTTTGATAAGCTGTACTGACTATCTTCTATTCAGTGGGTTTCATTGTTCATGAAAGCATAATGGAAGGCTCAAGAGAAGATGAGCAGAGGTGGAAGACAACTGCACCTGCTCTTTCCAGGTATGCTTATGATACAGGAACTGATCTCAAGTGTGTGGTTTTACGATGCTAAGAATTTCAAGGGTTTGAGTTTGGTGTCGGTTTGCTGCACACTCCCCCCAGACTTTATTTTTGGTAGTTCTGGTGCTGTGGGCTACTCTTAAATCCAAAGAGGTGTTTCCTTGACGTACTGGCCCTGGTGGTCATATGAGGGCTTTAATTACAGTTTCTTGCCATCAGAATTAATAGCCTGGCATCACCTGTTCTCTGGAGGTAAACAAAAAACACCATAAACCCTAAACTGTGTCACTAAGGGCCACATCTGCATGGTTTTTAAGCACTTCCATGGACAGTGATTCCACCACTTCTTTGGGCAGCCTGTTCCACCCACCAAGCTTTTGAGTATGTGCAACTTAACCCTCTTACAGTAGGTCACGCACTCTGTCTTTCAGACTTCCCATATTCCACTGGAGCCAAGTCTGGACAACATCAACCTCATGCTTTCCAAGTGATGAGGGTTCAGGTGTAAGGAAAGCAGATCACTCCTACCATGCATGACCACATCCTCCCTCATCAGGACACACTGCCCTCCCAGCAGCTGCAGGACACAGCTAGCACAAACACCTTGCATTGGCATCTCCTACATTATATTAATTCTAATTTTATGAACTGATGGCAGAGCTGAACACAGCCAGTTCGACAGCCCTCACAAGCACTGAATGGACTTGTTGCACAAACAGGTCACTTGAAAGCACAAAGTGGACCTGCTGCAGTGCACTAGAGGTGGCTGCTCAGGCAGGATACAAACAGAGTAAGTGCAGGACATGCAGCCAAGCCTCTTCTAAATGATGTTGCTGCTCACACCAGTTTTCTTGCTTGGGGCTTTCAATTTGCTGTTGCTGTCACACTTTAAATGAACCCTGCTGCCAAGTCCTGAGCCAGGGCAGCTGACTTTAAAAAGCAGTGGATGGAAAGTGTGAACGTCTCACCAAAAAACTGTCTTACATCAAAGGTGCTCTCATCAAAGATGAGGGCACTCCTGGAGAAGTGAAAACCAGGATGGTTCACTAACACTAGCTTCAGACAGCATTCCTGTAGGTCTCGGTTTCTGAAGACTCAGAAACATCACCAAGGCAATCTAGAGGGACGAGCATCGCGTGCCCCAGCCCAGGAGAGCATCTGACATCATGCACTCCTCATCTTCAAAGGTGCTAAAAGGCTGCAGCACCTGCAAGCCTGTCCACCAGAAAGCCTGGCAGCTCTCTGCCAGCAGCGTGACTAGCTTCAAAACTCTCATTTCTGCCTGCTGACATTCTTCTACCAAGGTGAATACTGCATGCTGTAGTGAGGACTGCCCACTGCCAGGCAGCCCCCAGCCGCCCAGGGTGTCAGAGCAAGCTGAGGTCTCAGAGCAAGAGCAATTCTCACAGGCATGGAGATGCTCTGAGGGCTGGAGCAACTCTGCTCTGGGGCCAGGCTGAGAGAGCTGAGCTGGGTCATCCTGGAGAAAAGAAGACTCCTTAAGGGGAGACCTTAGAGCAGCTCCAGTGCCTAAAGGGGCTACAGGAAACCTGGAGGGGGGCTTTGGACAAGGGCCTGTAGGGACAGGACAAGGGGGAATAGCTTTAACCTGACAGGGGAGATTGAGATGAGCTCTTAAGCAGAAGTTCTTCCCTGTGAGAGTGCTGAGATGCTGGCACAGGGTGCCCAGAGGAGCTGTGGCTGCCCCATCCCTGGCAGTGTTCAAGGCCAGGTTGGACACAGGGGCTTGGAGCAACCTGCTGTAGTGGAAGGTGTCCCTGTCTGTGGCAGGGGTTGGAGCTGGATGAGTTTTAAGGTCTCTTCCAACACAAACCAGTCTGTGATTCTATGTATGATTCTATGATGTGCAGGGCCCATCAGGAAGTCTCACACCCACTTTAGAAGAAATTGGATTCACCTTTAATGTAAAGGCAGTGCAATTTAACTGCAACTTTATTAGGTTATAATCTGGTTCTCCAGTGTGTATTCAAGTGAATACACCAGGATTCACCTAAGTGAATACACCTATGAATTCACCAGGGCAGAGTCTAACCGGGTATGTCTGATCTCTCAGAGGCACTGTTATTTCTTGGTGAACAAGCAGTGGTGTCTGAAGGCAGTTTGGCTGCTGCCATGGCTCAGGGCTGTCTGTGCTGCCCATTTTAGAGCAGCTTTGCTCACAGAAGCCCTGGGCTGGCATGCTCAGGCCATCACATACCCAGTTTGGCTGAGTGGTTTCTTGCCTCTTCCTCCCTTTATCCCACTTTTATCTGGGATCATCCTCCTCGTCCCGTGAGTGTCCTTGTCACCTCTCCGAGCAATCGGGACTGTGGTGGCTCCACAGAACAAAGCCCAGGAGGAAGCAGGCACTCAGCTGAGATTCCCAGATCATTCCTGGGGACTTAGGAATTAACCCCAGTGAGAGCTTTGTGCCCAAACCTCCCAGCAGCCGCGGGTACCCTCAGCTGTGCTCGCGGGTCCTGGATGCTGCTGAACAATTTCCATTTCCACTGCTGAAAGCGCCTGTCACCTTCCCCGCAGCACGATGACGCTGTTACTCCTGCACAGTCTGTGTCAGCGATAGCAACCAGGGATTTGCTGCGTCCACACTGACCTCTGCTTAAACCTGTGCTTATTGCTTGCTGCCATTGATAAACGCAGGTAGTGGGTTTGCAGTGTGCTTCAGGGGAAGCTCTTAACCCTTCCAAGTGTTACTGTGCTCTCTGCCCTTGGTTGATGTCCAAAACTCAGGTCAGGACATCTCTGGGTACACACACAATTCACCTGGGAAAGGTGCTTAAATTGACCTGAGGTGGATGCTGTGCACAAGGCAGGTTGCCAGGGGAGCCTGGTGGGTGGGGATAGGAGCTTCAGAGCCTCTAGGACCTCGTGGTACAAGAGTATCCTCCCTCTGCAAGCATGGGCTCGCTTGGCAAAGGCTGGACAAAGAGAAGTGGACAGCTTGGAACAGTAAGTCAAGTGGATGCTTACAGCAAGGAGCTGGCCTTGGGAGCTGTTGCTGGGGCTTAATGAGAACTCCCTTGAAGCTCTGGAACAGTGGGCAGTGATGCAGTGGCTGTGTAACAGTAGTTCATGGTCTCTCCTAATAGAAAAGTTGGGATAGGAGAGGAAATACTGATGTTGATCAAGGAACATGCACGGCTGATGCTCCCATCCAGAAATGCTGCAAGGTCAATTGAGATTTTAAGGAAGATTTTTTTTGTATCCCTCCTAAAATGACTGTTAGAGTTAGGCTTAAAAGCTTCTCACTGCAGTCATAAACCCAGGAACACGTTCTCTGTATTCAGGACAGAAATGTTTTCATTAATCCTTGATTCAGAGCTTAGGCTTCCTTAAAACCCCCGTGCATTCCGTGCCTTGTCATGGAAACAAGAGTGGGAAAAGCAAGTTGCCAACTCTGATCCATTCTGGTTTAAGGCTCGTCCATGAGAGCAGCGCAGCTTTCTCCTGGCAGATCTGGTGCTTTTGTTCTACAAAGCAGGTTCTTTATCCCAGTGTAACAGTCTGGAGCCCAGGAGGTCAGACTGCAGCACAGCACAGGGAGAGGTGGGGAAGAGCACAGCTGGAGACAGGGCTTAAAATGACTTGAGGCGATTGCCTTTAGAAACCAGACAAATCCTTCCACCCACAAAATAACCAAGGAGCTGTTTTCTTTGCTTCGTTTGCCTTCAGTCCCAGTGAACTGAGGGACACTTCTCCGTTCCCCCATTAGAGTGGCAGCAGGAGCTCTGCTCGCTAGAGCTGCTTGGTTTGTCATTGCAGCTGCTTGTACTGAGCTCATTATTAGAGCTGCTCATACTTGGTTCTTCCCTGCTGCAGGTTCCCCTGCAGTGAGTGCTCCTTCCCCCAGCTGAAGGAACTCTTTCGCTATCAGCAGTAAGTGCAGGCACTGGAAGATCAGATGTCCAGGTGAACACAAAATGCAGGTACAAGGGGGGGCACAGACCACATGGTGCTCTGAAGCAAGGGGCAGCACTGCAACCCCTGGGTACTGTGCTTCCCGATAGGATTTGCTTTGGAGCTGTAAAGCTTTTGCTCAGGCATTTTTAGCAGCATTAACATCTGATCTCTATGCAGGCAGCTTTGCTGTTGTGCCAGTGTTGAATATGATCAGTGTCCAGCTAGTCCCAAAACCTGCACTTCCTACACCAAGATTGTGATTGCTCTCTTCAACCACCGGGGCTGTGCTGTTACTGCCCTCCAGTTTCAGCTGCGTTAAGATGAATTTCTCTTACCTGGCATCTGAAGTGTTTCAGTGCCTGAGCTTTAATGCTTCCCGCCTGTGCCCTGGCTGGCATGAAAGTGCCAGATGAAGAACAGGATATGGGGCTGCAACCCTGCCAGAGAACATGACCTCAGAGGGGCTTTGCTGCTTCACTGCATTCTCCTTTTCTCTCCATGAGGAAGGATGCTCCAGCTGGGTGGGAGGAGAAGGGGAACTGGGAGTCTGGAAACTGGTCAGGTTTGCAATCTGAGGTGAAAGAACTGTTAGTCCCCCTTAACCATCAGGATCTCCGATGTGTCGTGGCACTTACGGTACTTTTCCACTGATGTAACTCAACCCAGGGCAGGAGTCTGTGTGGAAAAGCGGAGTATTGAGTCCTAGCACTAATCTACTAGGGTGAATGCTGGTCAGTAATTCAGAGGCAGGACTTCAGCTTAATTTGTCAAGGAGATGACAGAATTGGGGGGGAAA